CTCACTTTGTTTTAATAAGCTTCTTCTCAGTTGCCCATTGCCAGTTCTGTATTACCTACAGTGCACATTGTTTTTTTTTTCTGTCTCATATTCTACTTTGACTCCAAGCAGCCTCAGTGTAAAAGCAGATGAGATGATTTCTTATCACTCACTTTTTCTCGTGAGAAAGAGGACCCCCTTGGCCCTGCACTCTCTACCGGCTTCTTCTTAGCACAGTCATTTGCCTCTTGTCAAAAGAGGTCTATAAAATGCTACTGAGTTAAATCAGCAAAGTGTTTAATCATATTTATTTTGCAATCACTGTGATAGACTCTTTGTTGGTCTAACTAGCTGCAGTCTCATTGATTCAAGTGGAGTTTTCCTTCTTTGCATGAAAAGGGAATTGGCTCAACCTGGACAGGAGGCCAGAAGCCATTACAGATGACAGACAGCAGAGGATCAGCCCCTCTGATTTCAGGTCTGATCGCAGTTGTTTGCAATTCTCCTGTACACTCATGGAAGACACTTTATGTGTTACAACTTGCTGCAAGCCTTTGATATCTTTGACCTTTTAAAAAAAGTCTTTTAAATTTTGATATTCCCTATGAAGACAGATGGTATTTTTTGATTGAATAGATAGAGATTTCATGTCTAAACGCATTTCTTGGTTTCACTTCATTGGACTGGTTAACCGCTCTCTGTATGTTCTATGCTGCTCACAATCTTCTCTTGTAATTTGTTTTTGAATGGTATTATTAAAAAAGCTACAAAGAATTAAACATGCAGAAATCCCCCTGGAAAACATTAGTAATGTCCTGTTAGCGTCTCCCTTTAGATCCAAATGTGGATATTTGAGTACATACAGTCCTGCATGCAGCTACACTTCCAAGCCAAAAACTGCCCTTGGTACCTTCTGACTGGAACAAGTGTTAGACTCCAAGTGCCATGAGTAACCAGATGCAGATCCTCTGGAAGTAGGTAGGGAAGCTGTGAAAAAATTGCAAAGCCTGTCAAAAGCTTTGGCTCTGGAGAGAGTGAGAAAGAGCCCTCCAAGTACTGATGCTGAGCCCGGGACACACTGGGTGCAGCGCATCTCTCTTGGTTGCAGTCTCATGAAACAACAGCTGAAATAGCAGAACTGGTGCCCTGTTTTCTTCTTCTGTCCCCTGAATAAGTCACCTGAAAACAGGGCAAACGATACATTTTCAACAAAATAAGGAAATCACTCTGAGCAGTTCTCATTTACAGCACAATCATAAAAATTCTGGCAAAAAGTCAAACAGTTTCCATATCAATTCAGCGCACAGCATTGCTAGCACGGTCGGTGTCAACAGCTAAATAGCTGGTGCAGAGGCAGAAGACAGAGGCTGCTGTGTTCTTGGTGCTGCAGCTCAGACAGAAGATGAAATCATGGTAGTTCAACATTTGGTGACGACTTAACTACTGATTTTCTGGCTTTCTGTTTATGCTGGAATAAAACCTGCTTGCGCTTGAAAAAAATTTTGGTCATTAGGAATCTGTATGCATATGTTTGGCCTTAATTATTTAACAAAACCTTCAAACCCAAGAAATACAACTATCTACTTTTGCGGAGCTGTAGAACATACCTACAGTCTTTGCTTGGTGGTGGGTGGTTGCAGCACTGTATTTGTAAGGGTTTTTTTTTTTTACTGTAATGGTGAGAAAGTGATTTTGAATGTCTTATAAACAGGTGCATGGTACAAGAAAAAAACAACAGGCCATATTTTTGGCCTTGGCCGTATTGTTCATGCCTTTGGCAAGTGCCACTTCTTAACTTAGTATTTAAAGCTTGTTTTCTCTACATAGTACAGACCCAGGACACATGGCTGAAACTGAATATGGAGCATTGGATGTTTATTAGGGAGGTGGAAAATATGACTGTTTATTGTAGTTTCAGATTTTGGCTTGGGTCGGGAACAAATTTTTCAAATTTTCAGAGTATTTTGGTATATTGATCCTTGTGACTTTTTTTTTTTTATTTCAGACATTGAGGATAAAGGCAATAAGAAAAATTTCCAAACAGGTTCTACACCTAGTCTGAATTAAATCAAAAGCCAGATTTCAGACAGTGACCTTAAGCGTTTGGTACTTTAGGAGATGATAATTTCCAGAAGGGTGGGCTTTTTTGGTGGTATTCTGAATGTCCCAGTTCTTGGCTGCCAGACTTGTAGGTTGAGAAACTTTGAGGTTGCCTGCTGATCTGTATCATCTCAGTTCAGAGTCCGTTTAATGAATCTCAACTTAAGCATCCAAAAGCAGAAACACTCCCAACTCATTAATCACTGTGAGAGATCTTGTCCCAACCATTTCAATTAAGAACAAGAGTTCCCTCATAGGAAAACATGATTATGTGTTTCCAGTGACAGTCATGATTTTATTGGTCGCTTACATTTATATATCAAAGATATGCCCTTGTTTCACTTTGGAGATGTAAGTCAACATCACCATGACTTTAGGTACCTTGTATGTCTGTGTGTTCATAGGTGTTTTAGACTGATGGCTGATGACATGTCCTTCAAAGGTCTCTAAAAATCCAAGTCGTGGTCTAACAAGATTAAGACTTTGCTGAAACACATTGTATATGTATATTCTCTACAGCAGAATGTTAGTGTAAAACTGCTGCTGCTGCTAATAGACTTTGGGTTCATTACACTGTCAGCTGAAAGTTTTAGTCGCTGAGTTTTAGAGAGGGTTTTCTTTTTTGGATAAAACCAGAAGGTGTTGTAGAAATGAAATGTAGAGCATTTTGGAGAAGTGTGCAGTGCTATACATAATTTATTGGGCACTGTTTGTGCAGTCAATTGTTAAGTTATAAATAAAATACAGCCTTAAAACAAAGATGAAAGGCTGAAACTGTGGGTAGTTATTTCCTCTGTATTTCTGTTAAAAAAAAAAAAAGGTTTCCATGTTTGTTCAAATAGTCACATTTTGGTTGGGTTATTGATATTCACAGTGTTGTGCCTATTTTTGGAGGTATCGCATTGAAGACTTTCTTCTCTGCCACACAGAGTGCCTCCAATAAATCTTCTGCAGGCTCCAGGACTGTTCTTAAAGCTCTGTGAGGTGCCCAGGCACAGTCACAGGGAAACCACAGGGAGGCAAATGAGCCTCTGTCATACTGAATTTCCATGTCCCAGAGCTACAGAAGAACAGCTTGACTTGCCTCATCAACATAAGGTCCCTCGGTGGCTGTTGCAGTTCAGCACCCACCATCCTGGTAGTTTCCCCCATCCCATCTGAACCTCAGCTCCCATTTCTTTTAGGTGGAGGGCATCGAGGGTTGGCACAGGGACCAGCTCTACAGCCAGCATGAGATGGGTGCTTTCTGCCAACAGGGAAGTCCCTTGAACTGGAGAAATGCTGAACCCATTTAAGATCATTAAAAATCAGTTTAGGATTTAAAAATACAGTCCATATACTTTTCAGAATAATTTATTACAGGTCTTTGCATTGGTGCTCAGAATGAGCTGAGAAAGAGGTTTCTCCTTGGAGCCTTTGAGCAGGCTTTTTATCCATGGTGGAGGTATTTCCTGAATGTGAGTAGGAATAGCATAGCATGGGCCTGGTGGAACAACAAGGATAAAATATTTTGTTGTAGGTCATCGGCTGAGCATCCCTTGCAGGTACTGCGGAGCAGCGGGAGGTGCCTCGTTTGAAATCTCCCACTTCTTCTACAAGTGATTCTGACGCAGAGCTGCAATATTGAGGAAAAACATTCTGGCTGCTGAAGGGGAAAGACATGACCAATTTGAACTTAGGAGTGAAACATTTCCTAGAACTGAGCCTGAGTAAATTCTGGAACAGTTGAACAGGAAATAAGCTAATAATGGGATTTTACAATATGTATTTCCCATATAAGGCATTGAAATGTAGCGTGGGTTTGTTTGCTGATCTTGTGGCTACATTGATGAAAATTTTAGGTTTCTTCACTGTTTGCGCTCTGTTACGATTGTGAGGACTTTGCTCCATTCCAGGCTGAAGCACTTCATCTCGCTGCTGTTATCGGTGGTCCCTGGATGGACCATTCCTAGACCAGACCAGGGAAGAGACTATTTAACAGTTCCTCCTTGCTGCCTTTTGTTTGTGTCGGGGAGTTATTTCCTTCAGCCCTTGAGACTGATGCATAGGAAGGGGAAAAGAGGTGGGGAGTGCCCGTCTCTGCTTCTGAAAATAAGTTCCCCAAAATCTGATGTGGGGAAAGGAAGCCCTGGCTCCATGGAGCCTGCTGTCTCCCTCAATAAACAAAGGACTGGATTTGGGCAAGTTGCCCAAAGTGTTGGTGCAGGGTGCGTTCCCGTCCCAGTGCTCTGCCTGGCCTTTTAAGGATATGTGACAGTATGCTGGAGACCACAGTAAGGTGTGTAATTCAGCGATGATTAATGAGCACAAGGCTCTTCTGCAGCTTCGGTGTTTCTGTAGCATTGGTCAAATTCCCTTCTCACGAGTAACTCGCTAAGATTTCCAGAGTTTGGCTTCTTCTGCACTATGAGTGCGATCTCTTGCCAGCTCTTATGCTACATTAATTTAGAGCCATCTACCTTTCCAAATGTGCTCTGTATTGTGGAACAGGTTTTGCTTGTAAACGCGAGGCCAGATGTTCAGAAGAGGAGAGCTCCCGTTTAGGCATCTAGCAATTACTGCTGTGACACATACCGATTGCAGCTGAAAATCTGAAATCTGTCTGCTTAGACAATAAAATACTCAGGCTGGCTAGTTTGTGCAGTGCTATAAGAAGTGGCTTATATGCATATAATTCAGGAGTCCTTTCAAAATAGCATGCACTGAATTATGGTCTCAGTTTTAAACCACAGCTTGTGCCTAACTAGTTATTTTGATTTCTTGCCAAGCAGGAGCTCATTTTCCAGTTAAAACCAACATTTTCCTGTTCTTTTTCTGGAAAATCTGTTAATGAAGGCTAAATGAAACAATGACGGTAGGTCTACTGGCTAGATAAGAAATAGGTCTGATTCATTAATGGATGTTTCTTTTTTTTTTCCCAGTGACATATTCGATGCCATGTTCCCCGTCACACACATTGCAGGAGAAACAGTCATACAACAGGGTAATTCTTCCTCTCATTGTTTCCCTTGTATGTTTGCTGAGATTGTACAATTCACATCTCTCCATTTGAGATGTGCTTAACAGGGAGAACAGCCATATTCCGAAAGCATCTCAGTGTGCAGCTATATCATACGTACTTGGATGTAGGTCTTCTGCTACATGTGCGGAGGTCTCCTACAAAACCACACTAGTAGATCTCCAGGGTTTCGAAGTGCTGCAGTTAAATGTAGATAAATAGCACTTCAAATTAAAATGTTCATTCCTTAATTGAAGATAGTCAGGAAGTAATCCACAGCTCAGAATGCATAAGGGTGGCACAGGCTAGCTGAGAGTAATTAGAGATGGAAAATATTTTTATGGTTGTTGGGAATATTCAACACCTCATTGTGCTGTATGGTAGTTATCATAGTTATCACACTTGGCAACCTACCTGCGTGCCTGCAGCACGTTGCGGAGGACTTCATTACCCTCAGGCTATATTAAAGCCTCCTGTGTGTTTACAGTGAATGAAGTGTTGAATCATTCAAAAGAGATAAATTAATGCAATTGAAAGATACTAATAGGAAGAAAGCAATATTTTGATTTATGAAGACAAATAGGCAAGGATGTTTCAGAAAATGAATCTCTCTGTAAGTTACCTGGTGTACAAACCTGTGCAAATATGTGCAGGATTAAATATAGAGACAGGAAATTATTTAATAGTTTAGCAGACCTTCAGGAAACAATCACCTTTTGTATTTTACTTCCAGGTGATGAAGGAGACAACTTCTATGTGATTGACCAAGGCGAAGTGGATGTAAGTACACTCTTACAGTATAATATTTATTTTGAAGCTACATAATAAAATTATGTGCTCTGGCACACGGCTTGATCCAGCCATGTGCTGTGGTTCTGCCTCCTGTCTTCCTGAAATAGATTTCACAGGATTGGTCTCATTACTTGGCTTTTGTTAAGTCATTTGTGCATAATTTTATAATTGGCATGTTTTACATCCTAGCTTATTTGTCCATTCCAAGCAGGAAAATATGCTATCAAAACCAAGCAAATGACATTATCTTCAGAACCGTAACCACACCTGGAGGTGTGCAGTCTTTGGCAGAGCAGGCCACCATGCTGGAATGCACCCGAGGGTTCAGATCAACCATAAGGAAAATATTTTCTTTAATCAGTTAGCTTAGCTCATATGTTGGTTTTTTTTTTTTTCCAAATTGAGATACAGCCTCAGGCAGCGAGTTTCATCTTAGAAACCTTAATTTGCTTTTAAAATTAGGTCCAAATATACGAACAATGGAGGATATTAATAAAGCAAGGATTCTTATAAGTGTAAAGTGATCTGTTAGACCACAAAATGTTTACAGGGGTATGCAGTGGTTTAATCAGCAAGTTTTTCAAAAGAAGCTTCTTTCTGAACCTGCCTTCCAAATCATAATCTATTCACCTCTTACCATTTTTATCCTCTATGAAACTCACCCTTCTGCAGTTTTGCTACAAGTTCCTCATTTGGCTGAATTTTCTACAGACATCTTATGTATCCACAGTTGTCGGACAGGACAGGCTTCCTCATTAGCAACGTTGCTCTTCAGATGCCCAGATGAGTTTTGTTTGGCATATTTCAAGAAGAAAGTGATTTATTTTAAATCTGGGCAGGAGGCATACAGTTATTTTAGTGAAAGTTATTTTTTTTAGCAGTCTGTTTGTGTCAAGAGACCATCTAATTGGTATTGTTGGGAATTGAGAAACCTCACATGCGGCCTCTGCCTCTGGAAGTTGCTCCTCAGGAAATCCGTCTGACTCACTGTTCCTATCAGGCATACCTCTCAATAGCAAACATTGCCACATCCACAGGGCCAGAAAATAAAAGAGCAATATTTATAGAATAGCGCTAAAATTTAGTTTTAAAATAATTGTTTAGGGCCCAATACTGAGCTTAATGAGTTCACTGGCTTTGAATCAGACCCACAAGCGTATGTAAATGCACATATTGAAGTTGTAGATTAATCCTCTTTAAAAATAATTTGTCCTCGCTCAAAACCTTTAGGAAAGCTTTCTTCAGCATTTGGCTCAGGGATAGTGGGGGACATTAGAAAAAAGTCTGCAAAACCCTTACAATTAATTTCAAAAAAGGTAACCTTCCGTATGCACGTATTGCTCTCACAAAGCAGTGACAAAACGGGGAAAATAAATGTCCAGGGCCTAGCCAGCTTTGTGTCTGCTTGTAAAACCATTGCGCGAGGTGGTTTGTGCATTTTCTGTCCCTGGTAGTTGTCACTAATGGCCAAGGTGGCTATGGGTCTGCAAATGTTAGAAGGGACTTGTTTAGTGCACCCGTTGCTGTTTTCTCTGTTGGGTAAGATGGCATCATAGTTCCTTTCCCAGGTGTATCCCGGCATCTACTCAGAAACACCTTTACTACATCATGTTAGTTGTATATCAGAGGTTCTCTGTGGTTCTCTGTGGTTTTGTGGGAAGTTGAAATCCTTTCATAAATAATCCTGACCAGGAATGGCCCAAGAAGAGATACGTGTCCAGCTCATTTTTCATCTTCATTGATGGTTTCATGGGTTCATGAAAGTCTTTTGCAGAATAACCTTATATTTCCCAGAACAATTCAGAGACCTGTGAGGCTTCTGAGATAGGATATGGGGTAAAATTTGAAAAAGCACAACAGTGACTAAATGGCCTCAGTGCCACTGCATTGCAATTACACGTAGGCTCTTAACCTGTATAGATGGTTTTGAAAATTTTATCCCTGATTTAACAAGCTAAGCACCAATCCTTCTTTAAGCACATGAGCAATTCTGTTGACTTCAGTGGGACTTGCTGCTTTGCTAAATGAAGAGCACAGCTTTGTTTTACGCTGTTAGAGTTGAAGGCAGAAGTTTTCTTTGTATTCTGAGTAATTTGCAGTCCTCCAGTCAGTTCTGTATGATACAGGATATACATTTTTCCTGCCTTGTCTTTGAGACTTGCAACAGCAGATTTTCTAAGGAATGAATGAAATAACTGTGTTTCTTTGAGTAGATTGCAACTTTGATTTCACGAGCATTCTCAAGCCCTACTCCCCTAATTGCTAAAATCAGCCTATAGCTGCTAGGACAGATCAAACTGACCCACAATAATGTCATCCTGACACTTCTCAGATACACCTATGGACAGTTTTCTGGCATGACCTGTGGGACAAATACATCCCAACAAGAATTAAGAGGTGCCATTTGGACTGAGCTTATTCCAGGGACAACCAAAGCTCCTGACCTCCTAAGTCTTGCAAAACTCCTCTGTGACCAGATCTCATGCTGTCCTGCTTCAACATCCCGCTTTCTTCATCCTGCTGCGCCTTACCACTGCTCTCCCTATCTCCTCAGCTAGGTGCTCTCTCCTTCCTAAGCTTTTCATATATCTTCAGCCAAAACACATGCTGAATTCCTTTGAAAGATGCTGTGGAAGGCACAAGAAGTGTTCGCTCATCCAGGAACGCGTTGCAACTACACCCTGGGAGCTACAGAAGTTACCTACATTAACTGCCTTTGCTGGGAAGCTGCAGGAAGGCGAGACCGTTTTCACACCATAGAGTAAAGTCTGTACCAGGGCACTTAGAGCAGAGTCACTTACTCCTGTATAAGGCAGCAGCTCCCAAACCCCATGGGTGTGCACTATTGCACCGTATATAGTGCTCCCCAGAAAAGAGTTCTTCCACTTTCTGGGCAGCAGTGCTGAAATCCTTATTGTCTGAAGAAAATCCAGGCTGCTAGTAAGCGAGCTGCAGTTCATTTAAGCCCTGCCAGATACTTTTTTGGCATGCTTCCACCCTTCTCCAAGAAAAAAGGCGACTTGGAGAGTAGACAATTGACCCCGAGACTTAAAGCCTCAAGCCATTTTCTGCCTAGTTCAGCCAGTGTTGGCATATGCATGGAGGCTTTTAACCCCTGGCCAGGCTATCTCCCTTCATCGTTTCCGTGATTGCACTGAAGTGGCAGGTATACCAGGACTGGTGGATTCAAGGAGCAATTTACTCTGAGAACCTCCTGAGTGATAAGCACCCAGGGTTTCCGTACACATGCAAAGATACATGTAAAGGAGATTGCAATTGCCATCATAAAATTCCCATCCCCTGGAAGAAAGTTGTGGCAAAAGTGGAAAAAAAAAAAAAAAAATCTATCAACTGAGCAATCAAAACCAAACAGAAACCACCATCAAAGCCAGAATAACAAAATCAGTCTGTGGTGTTTTGAGTTTAAAAAAATGCAACATTTAAAAGTAATTTACTATTAAGAGTTTTGGCTTAGGCACCCCAAAGAATAAAAGCATTCTAATATTTTCCCTTAAAATAATCTGAGTCAAATTAGAAGTACAATAAAGTATTTTTACATATAATAACACTTTATCCTCAACTCTTGCACTTTCTTAGGGTAGAAACAAGCCTTATTAGCATAGAATAAAGTATCTGTACCTTTCCTTCTTGGTATTGCTATGAACAGCCAAAGAAGACTCAATACCCTTCTGTTGGCAGGCACACTTAACATGGGCTCTGGGCCAAGGGAGAAGGGCACAAATTTTCAGACATAAAAGAAAGATTTTTAGAAATCAGAAGAGGTAGGTTTTAGAGAAGCTGGGGTTTTCCTCTCATGTGCTGTATACTACAAAACAGGAAAACTTTGAACAGAGCTGGCATTGGATGGGAAAAGACATTATAGCAATCTCAGTTGTAGTCTTCCTCCTTAGCACTTCAGGGTTGAGGGGAATTGTTAACTCATGACCCAGCCCTGCAGATGGATAAAGTTTATACTAGGTAGATGATGGCCTGAGGTTTGAAGTCTTAGAGGTCAATTGTCTACCGGAAGCTTTTCTGCTCAGACAAATATGAGCGTACGCCAAAAAGTAGCTGGCACAGAGCTTAAATTATAGTTTCCAGTAAAGATGTTGAAAGTACCTGCTAAAGTATGTGTCTTGCAAAAATCTCTAATCCATATTTCTAAATATAAAAATGACTTCCTGTTTATTATTTTAATCTTACAACCTCACATTTTTTTACTTTAAAAAGCACTGTCAACTACCCTTTTAAAACAGATATATTTTTTTTAGACTCAACGACTTCCTATTCTATTTAATGTCACAGCAACTTTCTCTACAGTCATTCTCAGGTTTTCTTCTTGTAGAACAGCAGCTGAACTATAGTATGGTGAAAATCAAAACGAACACTTTTCAGTATTTTTTCTTAAATAGTTCTGTGTTTACTGTATAGATCTATATGTGAAGCTCTACATTAATGTTGTGGACAATAGATAAGATTATCTTTTGATTATAAGTAAAATCTTGAAGCCCTAATTCATATATAGAAACTGTCTAATTTGTTTATACAAAGATGAAAATTACATGGTGGTTTATGTGAGAATACAATTGGATTTTAAAACCAGTTATATTTTATGGTTAGATTCCATAGCTTGCTTTTGATTTTAATTCTTCCATTATTAATGATCTTTCTAATTTCAGAAGAATGGTTTTTGAAATTTGAAACAGAGCATTTTAAAGTTTGGAGTTTTTCAGCCTGAATTTTTGAGGATTCTCAAGGCAGTCTCCAAGTTTGTATATTTATACTTAAGAAAAGCAAATTCATACTACAAATAAAGCACTGGCTTTATTTGAGAAAACTACCCACATATAAATATCCTTCATGTCTAAGGCTTGCTTATTTTTCCAAGAATAAATAAACTTCATCTTCATTTTTGGGTAACAAATACTAAGGCTTGACAAGACACAAAGCACAAATTATTACAAACAGATCCGAGGGAAGAGATTGAACATCTAAAAGTCACAATGCCTGGAACAAGCGAGATTGTCCACATAGGTCACAAAGTGGCAGCAAAAACAAAATAATGCTAAAAGTTAACTTGAAATCAGCGATACAAAATTAAAGTAAATTCACTCCAATGAAGCTCAGAGATAAATGTTCATATCCTGCCTTCAAAGCAAAAGGGCTGTGTTACTGCTGGTGGTAAGGTTGCTTTGTGCTTCTCTACACAACACGAAGATGAGTGATGCCAAGATGCGTTCCTGTTGCATTGAGCATTGTGTGACTCATTGCCTTTTCTCTCACAGTTAGCGCCTATGTATATCGCAGCCCATGAAGAAGGGAACTGCTGATGTTCACAGAAGACTTTTCCCACTTGCCTCCTAAAAAAATAATGAAGTGAAGCAAGTTGTGTGATTTTCAAGCCCACAAAAATTTCAGTGCTCGTACTACATGATAGAAAAGAATAGAAATCTAAAATACTTTTGATCTGTGGGAAGTAGGTGGTCCTGATGGCTTGGTCATATTCGGGCACCTGCAGTTCTGCATTCCTCCTCAGCTGCATGAAAGAAGAATGTTACAGCTATTAGGGAGCTGTGATCAGTGGCAGGTCAAGTAACAATTAGGAATAATTCACTTACGTACTTGCCACTTCAGTGAGAGTTCACAAAAGTGTAAAATTGCCTGAGCCAAAACCTCAGCCCAGCATTTTTTAGGATAAAGAAGGAGATCATCTGAGCTGCTGCCATCTAACATTGGCTTTCATAAGCTGTTCTGAGCCTAAAATAGCTTTACTTCCCACACCTTACAAACAGAGCTACTTTCCTTTCTACTTCTTTTCTTAAATCTATTTTAAAGGGATTTATAGTGGAGCCAAACTCTCTGTTAAAGGGCAGAATGGCTTTGTAATGTGCCATCAATGCACTTCAACTTCATCATGAAGACGAAAGTTGATTGTTGACATAGGCCTTTGCAGAGAATGAAGTGCAATGGTTTTCCTCCTAGAAAACAACATATATTCTCAAGATGTTTTCTGTTCTGGAGATTGATATTGGAAATGGCATTTTTATTGGTGGAGTGAATGTTGGGCCCAAAGACTGTCAGATCAGTGATTTGGTTTCATCTCAGAGTACTTTAAATCTGACACCCTTAAGATGGAGGAATGGCCGTTTGCATAAACTGTTTACAGGCGAGATTTCAAACACATTTTGGGGAGTCTTGTCGAGTAAGACAGCAAAGTTAAAGAAGTCTTAGAGCAGTTTAGTAGTAGCCTCTCTGTATAACAACTGTGCAACAGTAAATGTCCATCCTTCACTTGCTCTACCTTGAGTTTTACCAGTGTAATTCCCCTCTCTGGGCTGCAGTCATATCATACATACTGCTTTAACAAGAAATGTCACTATATTGCTTAAAAAAATACGTGTTGGAATGAGTTTATTTCCCGCTTATAATTCAGACCCTTCTGCAATAGCAAAACCTGTGCTTTTCAACCAAAGAGCATGTAGAAACACGTGTATTTTTGGTGTGCTGAAAAAGAGTCATTCAGGATGTGGTCCAAAACTCACTGGAATTATTAGATTTTCCTCATCGTCCCTGACACTTTTTCCTGAGAACATGAATTACTGTACTGTAGCAAAACCTGGGTGCATACAGTGAAATCCCCACAGACAGGGGCTAGCCCTACATTCAAATATGCACCTGGACAATTTTGCAATGGAATAATTGAGTTTAAAAATTTTCATACATGCTCGTTATGTTACAAGCATTTCAGAATCCTAATTTTATTCATCCATTTCTCCTGCTTTTGTCACAGAAAAAGATCCAGGAGCCACAGTATTGTCTGCTTGTTTCACCAGGAAAGTGCTTGGGTTTGCCTGGCTTTTTCAGAAGTTTTATTTGCTTTCATTTTTTTTCATCATGAGGGGAATCAAAAGTAGATTCAGCGTTTTGTGAGATTTGCTTTCTGCAGTGAGTGTAAAAGTTTGAAAGGAAATGCTGTTGTTATTCTCTTGTGTGATATTCTCCTATGTGACATTCATTCTGTCATGGCAAAGAAATGAAGCTATAGCTTTTGTGGCTTGAGCTCTTTCTTGGCAGTCTGCTACCACCTGCTTGTTTGGGCTTATTTTTACCCTTTATTTCAGCCCCTTGATCCTCAGATGCTCTAGGAACACCAAGAGCCACAACATTGCCTGGAATTCAGCAGTGGTGCTAAAACTGCTCCTTTTCAGCTGATGCCTAAGAGGTCTCGTGATCAGCTGAACTGCTCCATGGCCTCATCCATCTCCTACTGAACCAGCATTTTACTGACCTCAGTAGGAGCTGGATCAGTTCTTAATTGAATTTTGGGAAGATAAATTGGGATTGATTCCAGCTGTAGTTTGCAATATGCCTTTTCATCATAAAATGAAGATAGAAGAAAAATTAATACTGACAGTTTGTTGAGTTTTGACCCCAGTTCATTTATTTTGATCACTGTCTTTTCTCATGCCCAGCTTGAGCATGGCTCTAATTCATATATTTTTTAAAAAATGCTTGTCTGTTACTCAGTAATTGGTAATAGGTTATGGTCTTTTCCTTCGCCATAGTTTTCTGCTTAAGATGATAATACTTGTGTATTTTCTTCACATTGTTTCTATTCACGAAGCTTCCAAACGGATGAAATTAATTCTGGTTGATTTCTGCTGTTACTGGTCTGTCACAGACTGGGATATATTCTGCACTGGGTAAATGCGCACTGCCTTTCCTACCCTCTAAGCTCACAGACACATTAACAGAATGAAAAGGGTTTATTGTGTAGGTTTATAGCAGTGAGCCCACAAGCAAGCTGCAGAATACACAATCCATACCAGTCTTTGAATACTCTATTATGTCTTATGAGCTGTATAGTGAGGAAAATGCAGCCCAGCAGAAAGCACCTGCACGAGTTACCCTTTCTCCAGTGAAGGCTTTACACAGCACTCAAGTGTAGGATCTCTTCTCAAATTAGGCTTCATCCAGGAAAAATACTGTGGTAGTGGTATCAATCCAAACTGTGCTTCAAGAGGATATGTTGGCTGTGGGTCAAATACTACTTCCTAAGTTTTATAGAGCTGATCTTAAAGACAAAGGGTAATTCTGCATACAGTTTCTGCAGTCCAGAGCACTTAGAAGTCTTCACTAAGGGAGAAAGAGATCTCAATATTTATATTTAAATGGTTGTTGGAGGCACCAGGCTTATGGAAGGAAGAAAATAACTCTTTTTCAAAAGACATTTCCCTGTTTTGACTGTTTTTCATGTCATGGCCATGGTGCTTTTCAGCAAACCTCATTAAACATATCAACAAATCTCCTTCCTTTCAAGTTTGTCAGCATTAATAAAAAGCCAAAGTTGTGACAGTTCTGCTTGTTGACTGTCTGAGCCTTGAACACAAAAGGGAAAACATGATGCCAGTTAACCATGGGAGCTGAGAACTTGGAGAGTAAATGCAATCATTGTACTGAAGCAAGATGACTTGAAATTCTGTCCACAAAGCAGGTTGTTGCCCTCTTTGGGGACCAACTGCGGAAACTGTTACGCTCTTGTTTCCTTGTCCCCAGCGTTAGCCATCAGAAAGGAAATGGCTAATAGCTTTTCAGGTAACTGGCAGTAGGAGGAAAACTGCAACTAAGTCCTCAAACTGGTTTTGCTTCTTGTTTTGTCTGGCGCTGTGGTAGGTTTATGTCAACGGGGAGTGGGTCACCAGCATCGGAGAAGGAGGCAGCTTCGGAGAGCTGGCGTTGATCTATGGAACACCCCGGGCTGCCACTGTCAAGGCTAAGACAGATCTCAAGCTCTGGGGCATCGACAGAGACAGCTACAGACGCATTTTAATGGTAAGTTTATGGAGAAGGGCTTGTTAATGAAGTTGGTATTTTTTACGTTCTTTTGTAGTGCCAGCACTTCTGTTCTGTGTTCAGAGTGCACTGATGATAGAAGGCTGCACAGTCTGTGTTTCTGCATAAAAGAGGGAGGGCATGACAATAACATTGAGTAACTAAATTAAGTGAGCTGAAGGAAAAAGGGACAAGATTCAGCAGAAAGGCGCTGAGTCAGAAATGCAATTGAATAACATTATGCATAACTATTATACATGAATGAAAACCTCAGGAGGCCTCCGTTACCCATCGAGGCTTTGCAAATCCTCTTCTTACCGTGAACCTCAAAATGTCTTTCAGCACTACCGCTTGCCTAAGAAGCCTTTGTCTGAACTTGTATTACACTCTTCAAGGCAGGCACTACAAGGTAAATCCAGCTCTTCTAAAAAAATAAAAGTCTCGGCTGGACTGTGCCCTCCATCTTCATTAGCCAGCACACAGCCACACATATCTATCACAGGATGGTAGCTGCAGAGTCCCTGCTAATGATTCATTGCTCTGCTCCTTTCAAACTCCCTCATCTCTGCAGTAAAGCTCAAGAAACCTTCTGGGCACCTGGGGGGTGTGCCAGCTTATGGATTTGCTGTTGGTTCTTGAGTGGTGAGTTTATAGAAACTTTGACAGATAATTAACTTTAGCAATGTCATAACTTTCTTTTATGAGTTTGTTTCTGATGTCTATGTGCATATCTTCCTTCGCTATAAAGTATTCCTTTCTTTTTGATAATTAACAGACGTAACTCTATGTAAAGCTTCTTTCTCAATAGGACTTGTCTCTAAAAGCTGCATTGTTTCATTCTGATCTGAAGGAAATTACACTATGCTCTCAGAATAGTAGAGGAGTGTGTGAGATCATCTGTATTTACAGTGGATGTCATAGATAACAGAAAAATTAGCAGAAGAATTGAGTAGATTTTACACTTAAATGATTAGTTCTTAAGCAACAGAGTGTAAGAGTGGTCTTTATGTTGTGTGATGACTGTTGGATGTCTGTATGAAGCATTGCTGGTTTCCACTTTGTATTTCATGGGCTGAGTTCTGTATCACATGAACGAACATCACACTGACATCTAAGGGAGTGCCTCTGATGGAAATTTACTCTATCCCAAAATATTCGGCCTGATTGCTCCAAGACAAAATAGGGGAATAATGATGAGAAGTGTACTGTCTTCTCCCTTGTGCGTAAGCAGAATGAATAGTTTTTGAATGCTTCCCAGTGGGGGGAAGCAGACAGTAGTAACTGAGACCTTTCTACAAGGTATTTCTAAAACGTGGAGCAGTAGAAATTCCTAACGGATTTAAGAGGCACACTCAACTTGTTTGTCCCATGTCCTCCATGGATGCAATGGAAGGGTGTCTGGGATAACTGTGCGATGAACCTGCATGCTGCAAGGAGGAATCCAAGGTATAAGAGAGGAGGAACGTAGGAGGGAAGTAGATGTCAGGACAAACCACATATTCCTTGGCTTTTTAAGCATAGCTTTTTACAGCTGCCTGTACACTTGCTACTAAAGAATTGAAGGGACAGATTCACAGGCCTTGTAGCCTGGAGGTAATTTCAGTTTTAGCGTTGATGAAAATAGTGGTACCTAACATCATCCAACCCTGTGAGCTTTCAGGTTTGGTCATGTGTCCACTACCATCTGATAGCAGCCTTCAGAAGATGAATATTTGATGCAGAGACAGGATTTTACTAAAAGGGTTTAAAGTCCCAAGTGGAAGAGACTGTGTTTTTAATGCTGGCTTTAGCTGTACATACAACTCGAATATTACAGATACACTTCTGTTTGATTCTAGTGTAGGGCTAAGTGCTTTGCAAACTAATTTACATATCCTCTGAACCAGTGACTGCTGTGCCTTACCTAGCAAGCTCAGTTTCTGCAGTTGATGAGACCTTTAACTTAACAGGGAGGTATTTTCTCTCCCTCTCTCTCTTCTGTGTTTTTTTTACAGTTGGGGTCATTAAAAAATGGTGGTCTGTTGCATTACATCGGATACCCAGATAGTGTAATGGTAGTATTCCCAACACTTAGATAGGAAATATTTCAGGTAGCATGGTGAATTAATTGCTGCAGGTGTAGAAAATGTCCAATTTTAAGTGCTGTCCACGGTGAATGCTATTTATCCATTCCAGACTACATGAATGCTGTCATCTTTTTACTTATTTGTAGGCGCAGCATGGATAATTCTTTTGCTGTAGGTGAAATGAGACACCTGTCTCTCTGCATTCGTGTGAGGGCAGGTTACGGTGGCTCTCTGCACATTTCCTCAAGCTTAAGAATTAATTACATCACGTTTCAGTGGCTGCATTTCATACTTGAAGCTAACTCCACCATTACGTGGCTGAGTACAGTTCTGTTGTACTCAGTTTCAAGATGTAGCTGCCTTTCAAGTCCCAGAAACGTGGTTTCCTGCCATTTAGCCCCTAACCTAATGTTTCTAGAAAGTTGCTGGATATTTTGGGTGTAGAAATGCTTCTGCCTTTAAATAAGAGGTAGTACTGTTTAGGATATCTTTTGAAGTATCATTTAAGATGGTTTTAAAACTTGAGAGCGAGCAGGTTTTTCTTTGTAATTTTGTGTTTGCAAATACTTCTGTCCAAGGAATCAATGACCTTTTCGTCCTAAAGATATGTTTTTTTTTTTCTGTAGACAGAAAAAGCCCCTCCATAACCTGAGATAGTTTTTTCTTTCATCTGCATTCCTTCCTGGCCTTGACCAGCCCCATGTTTTGTCAGTCTAGTGTTGAAATTTTATTCAAGTTGCAAATATTTATTTGCAAATCATGCCTTCAGACCCACACTTGCCAAAAAGATTTTATCCTGTCATGAGACACTTGACTCTCTACCTCATTTCTCCTTGCAGGCTGTTTTTAGTTCTTTGCTTCGCATTTAGTAATTTCTAGTTTGCATTTCTGCTTAGTGCCATTTTCCCCACTGATATGTCTCGTTGGTCCTGACTTGTTTATGGAATGAATCAAATGCATCTCAGGAGGTTTGGGAGTTTTAATTTTCCTTTTTTTTGGATGGACAAAGCCTGATGCAAAAAGTTCCTGCTGGCCTTTAGTTACACTTGTCATCCATTTATTATTTAGCCTGTCCCAAAGGAAGTTTTTTAAAATAGATATATTTCTTTATATTTCATAGTCTCAACTTAAGTACCCTGATGGTTTGAAGGTCACATTCAAGTTTGTTTTAGCAGCTGTGATGATTATAAATGTTGGGATAGTTCTTTTTGTCAGGATTTGCAGTCAAATTGCTTGGTTTTCACTGCAGTCCTTGACAAAGTGTTATACCATGAAATTCATTGTGCTAGATGGGTTACAAAAACCCACTTCAACATGTTCCCCCCTCAGTACTCACAGCTTATCTGTCTGTCTGTGTGTTCCATTTATTTCATAAAATTATCTGTGCTGAATTGCATACTTTTCACTCTTGCAAATTTTTGTATGTATATATTCTCTGTGTGCACACCCAAGAGCACACACACATTTTCTGTATATGTTCTGTATTTATTTACCTACATTCTTCTGGGAGAGATGCAAAGGAATTTTTTGCCACAGGATTCTCATGTAATTCAGTTGCTGAAATGTTGCTACTCTCTTCTTTGCAATTGGGATTCAAGAGCGTCACGGAGTGGGGAACATCCCAGGGTAGTACAATATTTGTATTCTAAATATAGCAAATACCACAAATACCAGAGAAGCAAATGTCTGTATCCCAACATCAGACTGATCCCCCAGACAATTCAGTTCCCAGACTGAGGAAATTTGAAGTATTAATTTCTTGTAATTTCTTCTTTAAGAAGGCTTGATTCAGGATAGTTTAACTATCCTCTAGTGCCCGTGGTCCAAGGTACCTGGCTCTGAGAGCAGAGTCGCATGGGATACAATACTTTTTGCCTATTTGGCAAACTTTGCTTACAGAAAGTGAGTTGTAATATTGGGATGTGAGTCATGACAAATCAAGGTTAGTCGGTTCCTAATGTTATGCCTCATTTTATTTATGCTATTTTGGCTTTGTTTTACCATCATTACACAGCTTTGAACCTGAGAACAAGTTCTTTAACAAGTGCCTTTTTCTACATAAGTAAAATAAAGTCAGAAGGACTTTGTGTTGCCATAAAACGTAGGTTGCGTCGTGGCCGAAACATAAAGCAAATCCAAAGCCTGCAATCCATCCAACATCTGTGCAACGTAGCACCGGGATCTTGCGGGCTGTGCTGTTTTCGTGGCCAGTATGCACGATGACTCTTTCTTTCATGCTCCTGTAAGAATGTACAGCCAAAGCATCATTCAATATCAGGTTTATGCAGGGATTAAACGGGGCTGGAGCAGTCCAGAAGGCCATTCCGGCACCTCCTGCCAGGATAACTTTTTGTTTGGAACTTGAGCCGTGCTTTGCCTTTCGGTAGCCATTTGTTTGGCTTCTTACTGAAGGTGGGGGTTTTCTAGGAAGGACCCAATCAACTCCACCCGGAAAAATGAAGCAAGAAAGAAGACATGAAGAGTGTTGGAGGGACAAAGCAAAGAGGCAAGCAGAGGGGAAGAAAGACAGAGACTGGACTGGAGGAGTGGGAAGAAAAAATGGAGGAAAACAGGGAAAGTGAAGAAGGGGCAGGAAAAGAGATGCAACAGTCCTGTTCAACGAGACCTGTTATAATCTCTGGGGCATTCAGTTTTCCTAACCTGTGTATTGCTTAAGCTAAGGCTAGGGCTTGCTACATTTTTAAGTGGTTCTAAACCTGGCTTTGAGCTCTTTTCTGGGTAGATTTGGCAAATGCAAGTGATCTCGTTTCTCCTTGGGAGTGTTTCAGGGAGGAGCACTGCAGCTTAGAATATTAATGAATCTTTGTAGTTAGTGGGAACCACTGTCTTTAAGAAGATGAGCTTGTGCATGACAGCTCAGAACCGTGGAGAAAGTGAACAAAGGAAAGGGGGAGAGGGAGAAGCAGAGACTATTGAAATAAGATATTAATAGGTTAGAAAAAGCAGAATTAATAAAGACTTTTTAAAACATGCCATCAAGAACTCTGCCAGTGCAGAATTATTCATGTACATTTACTATTGTTTTTATCTGGCTCAAGCAGTAAGATTTCTACTGCTTCCCTTGGGAAACTTTTCTGCAAGAAAATAATTCCTACGTTGGGAAGACTTTTTTGATATTGATCTTAAATTAGATTTTCTTAATTTTCTCTTATTACTTTGAGTTATATCACGTTATGCTGTACTAAATTGCCCTCACTTTCTGTCATATATCTATAGATTATTATCACTGTCTACTTAAAACCCTTGCAACGATGCATGCTAGCTATGAGCATGACATACTTATGATCCTAGTGTTGAGCTAACATACAGGCTGAATTTGGTTTGCTCTTTCCTTATGGGCTGTCCCCAAGCATTTTAGCATTTCTTAAAGCTTTGTTTGGTTTGGGAGCGCTTTTCTGGAGAAGAGGCACCAAGACAGTGTAGCACGCAAGGCACCACCACATCGGAACCATGGAGATGGAGCTTCTAAACTTCATTCCTGGACAACGTCTTTGAGTATACAGAAGAAAATAGCCTTGGCTGTATTCTTCTTGCAGTCTGATGTTGCAAACAGGGTCTCACCTATTGTCTGTAAATCTCTTTCAGCTTTACAACTTTCCAGTCTTCTTCCATTCTTCAAACATCTGTGCTTTGGATTTTTTTGTCTTTGCATTTCTTAGCTGTATTTTCCAAACAGAAGCTCATGCTATTATTTTCTACTCCCATTTCTAATGTCTCCAGGTCCTTTCTTGTTATTTTCCTGTTCTGGCAAGCTTTCATAGCATCTCCTAGTCTGCAGATATCGTTACTGTCTGATTTGTTGCTGCTTCTAGAAGATCCTTGAAAATATTGCATAAGAACAGACTTAGCACATGTCCCAGGGAGCATGCCAGTTGACACTTCTGCAGAAATTACTTGAAGGGTAGGGGAAGAGGTTATGATGGTGTTCATACCTGTGGCCTTAACAATTTGGGTAAAGTGACTAGACCAAATTAAACAAGTATAAAAAGGACATCAGGAGTCAGAGGTGACATTATGCCTATGGGAGAGGATGAGAGGGGAATATTAGTCTGATCAAGGGAAGTGGGAAGTAGGCACGTTCTCTCACTGTTTCATGGGAAGAAAAAGATGAATCATACCAATGAAAATAAGCACATGCTTTGGTTGCTTGTAAGATTTCTACTGCTGAGTTGGTTTTAGCATATATTAGTGTTCTCTCAGAATCTCTTCCCCTCACTCTGCTTGTGAAAGCTTGAGCAGAAAAACACACTCAAGTGAAAACAGGGTGCGTGAGGGTGAGCCAAGCTTCTCCTTCCTGGAAGAGGAATTGGGATCTGGTTGTGCCAATTGGGATCCAGCTTTGTGTGCTTTGAAAATGCAGGGAAACCTTCCGTACCTGCCTGGGCACCCTAAGGTGAAGCTCTGCTGTCGGTTGGCTTGTGCCACCCTGGAGGCTGTGTTTGTCTCCTCCGGATGAGATGGAGGGTTGGATGGAGCCATCTGGCAGGTTGAATCATAAGCCATCAGTTGGGTCACCTTGGGTTTCAGTGCATGTGCTGGGAAATAGGACTCCTAAGCCTCAACCACTAGTTCTTCCCTAGGCTCTTGTTCTCCCTTACCTTTGTGGTGTCGTTCTGAGACATGGGATATTCAAGACAGTGTAGCTATCCATTAAGTGAATCCCACTGAGGTTCAAGATACTATCACAATACGAAAAATGGTAACAGCACATTTAATTAATTCTTTCCACTTCAGTTTTGCTTTGGCACTTGTCTTCATGGTGGATTCTGTACCACTACCCTGGCTTAGTTTAGCCAAGACATAACACACCCGTTTTCCTGTAGGAAGTGCTGGGCTCTTGCTCTCCGGGCCAGGTGGGATTCCTGCCATTCTTACCTTCCTGGGTCTTGTCTGCATCTCGAAATACTCGAAGCTGTGGTTAGGTGTCACTTATGGCTACTGATTACTGCTTCTTAAAATTCATCTATGTCCGCAAGTCATTTAAAAAGCATTTTCCACATCTGTCCCTGGGTGCCCCAGCCCATCAAACTAAACCACCAATCTGGTTTTCCACAGCTGTCAATTTTGCCGGTCTTGTTTCCACTTGATTGCAGGGAGGAAAGCAACAACTGTGCAGTGTCCAGTTTTCCATTCTTTGTCTCGCAGCGAGCTGTCAGGATCTGGCGTGGTTTGCAGAGCCTCCTCCGTTTGAAGTTGTGGGTTTTTTTTTTCTTTCTGGCACTTCAAATGCTCTCAGGGCCCCCGAGGTTGAGAACTAGGTTTGTCAGACAGAGAGGTCAGACAAGGGTTACCGATGCTATCGCTTAGGGGCGAACTGTCATCACCAGACTCAGAAATTATGAACGGGGTGCGGAGGGGGAGACCTCAGTAGCTGGTGCTGCTGCTGCTCCAGAGATACCTGGGAGGAGTGTCAGCTCCTGATGATGCTGCGGCTGTTGCAGAGCATGGGTGGCCCCAGGAGAGGGGCACAAATGGGAGCTGTCCCCAGAGGAGAGCAGCTGGCAGCTTCTGCTGGTGCTGCGGTCGGAAGCTGGAGCCAAGGCCTGTTGATGTTGGTGGAAGGATTCATGTTGCTTCTGTGCTCATAGATCAAACCCTACCTGCGCAGCACGTGTAGGAAGAGGGACGATGTTTAATTCTTAGTTATGTCATTGGACTTGAGTACACCGGCCTTTCCCATTTTCATACTTAAGGCACTGCTGAATGCTTTCACAGTGGAGGGTAAAAAGTTTCATCCCCTTTTTCTTTCTCTATCCCCACTTTCTGCCTGTGCTTCGAGCACTTACCAGTGCTCACTTGGAGAAGGAGGAATCAAGAAGTGGCTTTTTCTGTGGCAGACACATTTGCTTCTGTCTTCTCTGCCCAGCCATCTTTATTTCCCTTTTCTTCAGAAAATGAATGTATCATCTTTGTGCTGTACTCCTGCCTTGTAGATCTGAGCAGCAGGCAGCAGGCAGCCTTTGACATCCACAGGGAATCTAACCAGGTAGAGACGATGTAGACTGTCATATAACAGTGTGGAATAAACTGCATGGTACCAAGGAAGACCCTGGAGTTCCTCTTTGGTATCTGGGAAGGTTTTCTTTTCAAGCCATTTGTGTCACTGCAGAAGGAGTTAAGCATGAATGAATTATTTTTGTATTGGTTGAACAGCATAGTATTTATTCATACCTGAATCTCTCTCAAAAATGCATGCTGGAATGGCTACTTATGGTTTCTGTCTATGGTGATCAAACACTATGTAAGCAGAGGGTTTCTCAGTAATTTATCACACAATAAAGTCTTAGTAGTGTGGGAATGACTGTGCTGGTGGCTGCACATACATTGATGGATTGTCTGCTCCATAAACACTTAAACCTTGTTAAAATAATAATATGAATAGGTTGCTCAGCAGTAACAATACATACAACACTATGCAGAATATAAACCAGGCTTAGAGATAAACGCTTTTGGCATTAAAGAGGTTTTAACCTAAGAAGATGGGACCCATGAGGGGAACATTTTAAGTTTTATCCTACTTTGTAATTGTAAATTCCCTTCTAGCAGGGCCTCATTGGTAACAAGATATATATTGAATTAGCTAAACAGTTAATTGATGAAGCTCTGGCTTTAAAATGAGTGCCTGTAAATAATGGATACAGTTCATCTGCGGTGTCCAGTAACACCAGTGAAGTCAGTGAAATTACACCAGGATTGAATTTGATTCCTTCTGTCTTTGCTTATCAGCAATACAACTTGCCCAGACGTTTTATGGGGAAGCATTTGCCTTAGGCTGTTTATACTGGCTATGCTTAAGATTTGGAAGGGGAAGGAAAAAAAAGAGCAGCTGTAGGAAGAAATCACAAAAATACTTTGTGTAATGTTCTACCTCCTTTTTCTCTCTCCTTTAATAACAGGGCAGCACACTGAGAAAGCGGAAGATGTATGAAGAATTCCTGAGCAAGGTCTCCATTTTGGGTCAGTTGCCTTTGGACTTGCCTGTTAGTTCCTCTGTTATATGTGTTGGCAGAATGAATTTTGGTCTTTGATGGCACGATGAAAGCAATGGTGGTCAAACAGAAGGTCTCATGGTTGCATCGTTTATGAAGGAATGAAAGCGTAAAGGGCTTTTTTTAGGACTTGTTTTTCTCATTCTTTGATATGCACTGAACATGTGTTTGAAGGACAAGTATTTCTTTAAATATGGGAGCAGGCATGGACTGGTAACCTTTTGGTAGCTGCTGTTGCAGTAAAGACCATGTGGATAGAGGAGAAAGCAGTGCAGAGTTATGAATTTGTCAAAAAGTTTAGTTACATCCTTACAGGTGGCCGGTGAGAAGCTTTTCCCTGCAAGAATACTGTATTTATGTGCGCTAAACAAACTAACCTTACCAATCAAAACCGACTGATTTTTTTTCTTCTGTGTATTTTATGGCCCCTGTCTCACATTCTTAAAACATCTGTTTAGCTTCTTGTCCTTGGATTTTGTTTCCCTTTGATTAATGTGATAGCCACGAAATTTGGACATGTTCTTGATAGCCTTCAGTAGGAAAAACAACAAACCCATAATGCCTGACCAATCAATCACCATTAGGAGAACAAAAGCTTCTAATAAGGAAGACGGTGTTAGACAGTACAATGAAATGTTGATTCTGTAGGAGAAGCATCATGTTTCCACTGGGACTATTTTGAAAAAAACAGTTCAGGATTAATTTATAATTATAAATATAATTATTTATATAATTATTTATATTTCTACTTAAACACTTTCTGTTTCTTGTTTATGTTATTCATCTCCCATTTGAGCTTAGGTACGTGAAATATGAGAGTGTCTTAGTGAAAATATACTTGAACTTCTGAGACGTGCTGTCCATGAAATTTTCGGTTATATTTGTATACTTAGGGTAAGGCCAAGTATGTTGCTCACTTATTAATGAAGTTTTCATCATTTAAATGTCTTCTTTTATGCTTAATTTAAATCTTCCTAAATTAAGAGCACAAATTATACTAAATTACAATGAGTATTTAAAGAAAAAAGGATCTCTGCACCTGCACTAATGAGAAGCAATTACAACAATGAGACATCTCAAAACAATTTCGGAGTAGGAAGGTTATTCAAAGATGTGCTTCCTTAAACATGCGGTTTGCAATGTAATTATATCCTAGTTTGTAGTACAGCTTTTGAATCTCAGTAAAAAAAGAGGAAGGACTTCAAGATTTTAACCTTTTTTAAGTACAGAAAAGCAGTGGAGAAAATAATGCATCATTTCAGAGACATGGAGAATTTAGGTGAAATCTGTACAGATCTGTTTCACATGTCTAAAAAGTAGATGGCTCCTGGGAAACAGAAAGGTGTTTTAGAAATCTCAACACAGCACTGAGAAGTCAACTTCACTTTGTGCCTTACTGTGGTCAGAACTCAGTGATTTCTTGTTGGAAAAACCTCTACTGCTTCTTACACATATTTTTTCAAGGTCTGTCTAGTGTCTGTAACTAGCCATATAATTGTAGGAGTCATATTTTTTTTAAATCTAAGGATTTTTTAGATTATCAGTAGCTGCTTATAGTGTGTCAAACGAGATGTGAGAAAACCAATTGTCTTAAGTATTTCTTCTGGAGTTTAATTAAATGTAAAGCCATGAATTGCTACGTACAATTTAGAAATTGAAAAAAATTGCATATGTTCTATTTTATTTTATGCTTGACTTTAACTCTGCAACTAAAACTTTAGGAGTTTTATCGTGTACAATATTCTATATAATGCTCTGTTTGCAAGAATCATTAGCCAAAGTATTTGTAGTGCTACAATTCCCTTAGACAAAAGAGAGACACTTCGTGACTAGAGCTAGAATTAGCTTTAGATTTTTCATAAAGCCAACTTAAGAAGATATTTCAAGAGACTCTTTCTTTTCATTGTTAATTACTGAGTTCTTTTATTTTTTAAAAAATGAAGAAGCCTACTCTAGTCTGTATGAAAGAGTTTTATGCTTATTTTTAGTCAAACAGAGCACTTTTTGAATGTTGCATTGACTACATGTGCTTGTTCTTTGATATTAATTCTTCTGCTGCAAAAGTCACAAATACACCAGGAAAGTGCATTAGTGATTATAGGTGTGGAAAATATTAGAACTCGTCATTTCCCAAACAGCAACAGAAAGTGGCATAAAACCATCAAGACGTATGTGTGTCAGGCAACTCAAAACTTCCTTTTGGTGCACTGATCACTTCTATCTGGTTTTGTTACCAGACTCAGTGTACACTTCTGAGCTCAGCCAAAAGGCTTGTTAAGTTTTAAAGAACAACTCTTTCAGCCTCACCAATACTTATAAGCAATATTTTGAACAAAATGGTGAAACCAGAGTCTGAGAGAACAGCTCAGGTCTAATCCTGGTGTCAGAAGCCATGTCTTGACTCATATTAATTCAATAATTCATGATAAATAAGGGTCAGCAGAACTCTAGTATATGCATTTTAGCCCAGCTTTTTGAGGCAGTGAAGGTTCTGTCATTGTATTACCTGTTTCTTGTAAGAACTTTTAAACCTGTCACTTCTTTCAATCAAATCTGATAAAAGTACAGAAGTTCAAGCACAATTCATTGTCTTGAATTCGCATGCAAATGGATAGAGGAGAGGGACACAGGTTGGCACCCCTCCTTTCCCTGAGGGCAGGACAGGTACCGTTCTTCCCTTAGCCAAGGCAGGAGGAGGGATGCAGCGGGACAGTGACCAGTCTCATGCAGGCTGTCTTTTGCCGTGTAGGTATCACAGGGGTTGTGGCAGCTGCAGGTGGGTGATCAGGACACCAAGCCCCGAGAAGCAGGGAAGGAAAAGAAAAACACTTTGTAAACCATCCCGCTGGGAAGTGAAACAGAGGTGCCACTTCAAACACCCATACTGAGCCTCTGGTCTCGCTGCCACCCATGCTACCAGGGTCCTGCCCTTGGCTTCGGTGGTGCATGGTCTCAGCCACGGGTGAAGAGTCATCTTTTAGACTGGCACTTCTGCGTGGCTTATCTAGCAGGCCATCAGAAACTGCCTGAGAGCCTCTGACGAAAAGACAGTAGGGCTTGTTCTGACATCTAGTGTGGGATGTGGTAAGAGAATCTCGGCGCTCCCATATCGCTGGTATCTCCAAACAGCTCCTAGGCTGCTCCAATCCACTGCAGCATCAGGGCAGCGCAGATCAGATCGCAGGCGTAGGGAACCAGAGCCAACTTTTCCTGTCCAACTTTTAAGATTATTATCTGGGTGATTACTGAAGTCTAAGATACAATGAATAAATACATTCGTGTTTCCCAACCGGAGGTTCGTGCGAAGTGCCTGGATGAAAGAAATGTTTCTTTTATAACAGAACCAGGCGTAGCAGAGCTGTCAGTTTAGATACGAATCTTCAGCCAAAGTTAGAGTCTTTTCATAATAAAGATTTATGATCTTCAATATTTTAGAGTCCCTGGACAAATGGGAGCGGCTGACAGTGGCTGATGCACTGGAACCTGTCCAGTTTGAAGATGGAGAAAAAATTGTTGTGCAGGGAGAGCCCGGTGATGACTTCTTCATTATTACAGAGGTAAGATTGGCATTCTGGTAAGCTTTTGTCATTTCCTGGTAAAGATCAAGGCTTTGTATTAAGAGACATTTGGATTCCTTACTTCAGTATAAATCTGAACTAACTCTACTCAAACCAGGAGAATGACTCAAAATTCAAATTAATTCAGGCACTGGTTCCATGGAAATGTCTTAAGTGGGATGATCCCAAATTTCCAGTAAATGGAAGATGCAGAGGAATTTGAGGTGTGTCTAGTGTCTTTACTGTTTGAAGGTTTGTTTTCTACATGATATTTTTCTTGTTCCAAATTGCCAATACTTCATCCAGGCTGGGCAGACACACAGTGCATTGATCGTTGTTCCCAAAGGGACTTAACAGGGGAAATCACAAACTAACATCTGTAAACTGGAGCAGGAGACCTGATCTGAAAATGGATAATTTGTTCTTTGTTCTGCCTTAAACTCTGTCCAAATGGCTGAGCCCTTTTCTTGTTTACCCTCACACAGGCAGACAGATCTGTCAGGCAGCTGAAAATGCTGACATCTTTTTGGGAGATTATCTGACACGTCAATTCCACCATCTCACTTCTGCAAACAGATGCTGACGGGGTTTTTCCTTCCTGTCTGACATAGATATTTGGATCCTTGGTATCTTATACAAATACCTAGGCCCTGTGATATAACAAGTTATAAGAAGGTATTAGAGAGACTCAGACTAAGGATAACAAGACAGCTTTAGGATATGATTGTATATGTATTGAAGGAGGAGCTTTTCAGTACCAGCTGTGAGTGTTCATACATAAATATGTAGACTGGGAACAACCAACATATGGCTGTGTGGTGACAGTTCAAGTCCACATGCCAGGCCAGAGGTTGCATGACCAGCAATGAGGGAGTGGTGGCACAAGATCTAGGAGGTAATCTGAATGTCTCACTGTGGGAGAAGGTGGGTCAGATGGATGTAAGGAAGTTGGTATCATTGTGTTGCCTTGGCATCCAGCTGTATGTACACAGAATACATCTCTGGCTCCGTCAGGCTGCTGTGTTGTGGTGTGATTTAGGAGGAAAGAGACCATGCTCCACTCAGGTGATAAAGGACTTGTACAGCGCCCATTCCAGATGGTTTAGAGGCCAACAAGTTTTTCTTTGCTTGCTCCTTATCTGTGGATTTTTGGACAGGTGCCTTTATCCAGGGCAGCCAGAATTTGGTTCATAATCAATATCTGACACTTAAAATTCCATCCTTCTTTCCTCTTGAGTGTTGGAAATACATATTTGATTTATAAACATAGTTTCTCTTCTGATGCTCACAAAATTGTCAGTGCAAATAGCTGCACCTGGGTATCACACAGTGAGACACCTAAGGAACTTTAAATAAGTGACGAGCAGTGCCCCTTCAAAACAACAGTGTCAGAATAAAAGAGACAAGGTATTAGATAGGGTTGGTTTTTTTTTGTTAACAAGATATTTATTATATAAGAAAAATTTAGGAAATAGAACTTTTTTTTTCAGAAATATGGAATTTTTGTTTCTATTAGTGTTACTAAGTGTACTGTTATTCCTTGCGGCAGCATGAGACTAGGAAAACCTAATTTTCTTAGCCATCGAATCCCATGTGGAAAATTGGCAGTTTGCTTAAGAATTACCAAGAGCCTTTATTTCCCCCCTCTTGTTGGAACAGCTGTTAAGACTTGAATGGGTAGAAAAGTATTAACACTGCACACTGCATAATGATAAAGTATCTGCTCACCTCACTCTTCCACTATAAATCTAACGTAGTTTCTCACTTTGGAAATTGCCTGTATTTTTCTGCATTAAAGAATGAACATCCAGCATCAACTATTTCTTGTGCTGCAGTAGTGTTTCTGCCTGCTCACACATACTTTAAGCTTTGTGTTTTAAACCTGACTTCACAGGAGCGTACATCTTTGATGTTAAACATTTCTGCAGGAGAGTTGATGCGAGCTGCCAGGAACACATTATTCTTACAAACTGGTTGAAAGTAGTCTTGGCTGGTTTGTTGTCACAATATGTTGAAAAGCCATTAGCTTCTTGCATATGTTTTTTGATGTTTGTGGCCTTATAATCCAAAACACTAGAAATGCAGCCAATTTGTTTGGCTGCTGTATATGTAGAAATCATTTTGTGTGTCACCAGAATGCAGTCTCCTTTGGAGCACAGTATGTCCAGTAGTACAAAGCTAAACTTTGCCACACAATTTTTGGGCAAAGGACTTACTTATTATAAACCGTGGTCATACATGGCATGCATTAGACAAATTAGTTAGCAATTTACAAAGCTTTGGTGCACCAGCATCACAGATACTGATTCCAGCTGGGATCTTGTGACTCCTATCACAAAAGCTTCTCTAAGACACCCAGGACTCCCATATGGACTTTAAATTGTTAGCACAGTTTTGTATGAACTTCATAAATTAATCGTTCGTTTCTGGTTAGCCTCCAGTGCTGCCTTCCTCTGTGACATCCCTTTGGGATACCATCTTTGGTCCTGCAGAAGGACAGAGCCTATAAGCGAATGGGCACCCAGGAGACTGGAGAGCAACCTTCAGTCTCCTTCTGAAAGGGAGACTTCCAGCCTCGGTGATGATCAGGACAGCAATTCCTGCTTTAAACCAGGAATATAATCCTGGTTAGTTTGGACAAGAATATTTAGTCTCCCCCTTCTGTCAAGCAAGCACAGTCACCTTTTCTCTGTTTTTCTTTGTATAAACATTTTTTCATGGCTTTCTGCCCACCATCTTATCTCCAGTGTTGGACAGATTGTAGTAGGGTGCAGGTTATTTGAGGTGCAGGCTGTATGCATGAAAATGGTACAGTGCCCCATGGAGAGCAAGGCTGCAGCAGGAGCTCAGCCAAGTTATTAGAATAACAGAAAATATGTACAGGGAAGAGTCACAGGAAACCAGGGCTTTTTAAGTTCACTGCTCACAAAGCTGTTTATGGTTCATTTTTTGTTAAAAAGTCTAATCAGAAAAGTATTACCCTGAGATTCCAGGATGGCTACAGTTTTTCTGCCATCCTAAATCTTCACAGGCACCAGTCAGATGTTTACTTGCAGGAGGTTGGGTGCTTTGCCATTTAAATCTCAAGCAGCCTTCAACAAGATTTAGTTTTAGTGTTTAAAGGCTGCGATTTTTTCTGGAGATAGAATTATTTTAATGTTTATACCATATTCCTTAATTTGAAAATAGGATCAGAAGTGAATGTCTGCTTACAAAAGCAAGTAACCGCTGCTGTGAGATTGATTTACTGCACTTGAAACTGGTAATTAAAAAAAAGAAAAAAGAAGCAGCCCTGCAGTTTCTGTATTTTCAGATATTTCCAGGTCTTATTTTCCCACTATGGTTTTCACACAACAAACTCGGGCTTTCCCAGACCAGACAGATGTGGAATGTATCTGCTGGATTCCAAGGTCATGGAATTATCCCATATGAGATTCCTGGCACAGAGGTGAAAAACTTTAAGCACCATGAAACAATTGTTGCCATAAAGAATTATATTTTGGCAAGCGTAAATCATAACAGATGTACAGTTTCTAACAAATAAATTTGCAGTTGTATCGTACACTGCCACACTGTGTACCCAGCAGTAGGGAGGATTTATTCCTCTGACTTCAGATAACGCAAATATTTTTAGCTAGTGTTTTAAAGTGGTAGCTTGCAAAGGCGTGTGAGCTTTGCAGAGTTAAATATCCCAGCAAATGTTAAGTACCTTTAAATGAAATGCCAGTTGAACGGGGGTTGGTTTTATTCCCAACTTATGCTTTGCCACTGACTTCAGCTCGAACAGTAGTTCAGACTAGTGTAGTAGTGCTCTGAAACTGGAAAAAAATGAGGGTTTTGCCGTTGTCTAGGTTACTGAGAAAGGTAGTGACAATAGTATTAAAAATAGCAGTTATGATGATGTACCACTCTCTTAAGTTCAGCTTCAAACTTGGCTGGGTGGCACAGTACCTCGAAGTCCCTAATGCAGCTGCCAAAAATGTGGGACCTGCAGCCGGATAGCGCCCTGCTGGGTTTTCCAGCTCCCACCCCTCCCCACGTCAGGTCATTTGGAGCTACTTGTCCGTATACAGCACACAGATACTGTCACGGGGCTCCACCAACTGTGCTCGGGGAGTCTTTTAATCTCAGCTCCACAGTGAGAGCTTGCTGAACTGCTGCCATATGGCCCTAATACTCCATAAAGTTTGACATGGCTTAAGAAAAATGCGTGCACAGACACAAACATATGCAGGTGTGGGAGGAGAGAACAGCAAAAGGTTTATAATAGTGCCACACTGCGCCCGAAGAGCACATCTTGTAACTGTCCTTTAGATGTGCTCTCTGTAGCCTGTCATCTCCTTGGGGGACAGTTTGGTTTAACTGGTGCAGAAAGCAAAGAAATGAAACGGCATGGGAAGTAAAACATTTCCAATTAATAGTTGATCGAGCTGCCCAGCAATAGCATGCAGCAGCCTAAAAATAAAAGACCTAAAAATAGAAGATAATTCATAGGAGAAAATTCAAGGAGAAATGGACCCATTGTATCAAGTAGTTTCACATTAGATTTTTTTTTAACTTTAAAAACTAGTATATTTAATTGCAGATTAGTGCTAAGTTACAGGGGGTAGTTGCACCCTCCTCTGCAACTCCTTTGTGAAATGCACTTCAAAAAAGCTGGGGCTTTGTGTTCTTTGTTATTATCCTGATGGACAGAGAGGAGGCAGAGTCAGGGCATCTGATTTTCAGTCTCACCTGTATCATTGGTCCAGTCTGTTGGCCAAATGTTACTCTCCCTGTTTCCCCATCAGTGGGAATAATCCTAATGACACTCCATAAAGATCAGCAAAAGCTCAATGGGAAAAGGCATAAAGTATCCGTCGGGACTGAAACCAGGCAATGGGAATAGCAAAACTGACAAACAAGAGAAAAAAGTCCATTGATATTGCGGAAATCCTTCCAGAGTTAACGCATAGAGCTGTCTCATTGACAGGAATTCATTAAATTAATTGGTAATGATT